GTCACACACTGTATAAACATTAAGCCTATATACACCTCTGCAAGTTATGCTAGTGGCTTTCTGAATTAGACGTCTGACTTCTTTTCCAGTGTTAATGAGCTATTTATAATCTTCATTATTACGAATTTTCTTTTCATGCAGATAAAGCAGCACAAAATACAGGGATGGATGGATGGATGGATGGATGGATGGATGGATGGATGAACGGACGGACAATTCTTATAAGTCTTGTCTCAGTTACAGCATAAGTCATATAACCATGAAGTCATTGAAAAAAATGTGTAAAATAAGGAATAGAAACTTTAATGCGATGCAAAATGTGTGTGATAATTGAAGAGGTGTTTTTTTACAGTTCAGTGAAAAAAGGGTACCTTTTTCAGGTAGTCAGTAAAAAGGGGTGTGTTTTCAAGGCTATGTCAGTGAAAAGGGTAGTTTTCACAAAGTCCTTGGTTAGTGTTTGGGGGGTGGGTTCAGAAAGTCATGTATGAGGATGGCGCTATACACTCTAAAAATGAAATGTTGGATTTACTTAACCATGTTATGGTTCCACTTAACTGAGTTGAGTAAATTCAAAGCAACATACTCATGTTCTTTGGCTAAAAMAACTGATACATTGCTTTGAATTTACTCAACTCAGTTAAGTGGAACCAGGTAACATAACATGGTTAAGTAAATCCAACATTTCATTTTTTACAGTGTATAGTTAATATAGAGTTGCCCCCTTGGCATTTTCCACATTTTCTCAAGGCTGACATTTTCTGCTTGATCATTTTAGAACCAACAAAGAACCAACATGAGCAACATACATGCAGGTACTTGACTCTATCGTTTGAATTTCAATCTGTATTTTATTTCATTTAAAACAGTTTTAATAAMTGTATGAATGGTTGTCATTCTAACTGTCAGGTTATTTTGTAATGATTTTTATTTATATGGCAAAATAATTTTTTTCGTAGCCATCGGCCCACTTCTTTTGCATTATGTACATACATTGCCATGTAAATTTCCATTGCTTATAATTTTCCAGGGAATCCTTCTACTGTGATTTGATGTGTTGTGAAAAGTAAAATTTATGAAAAAGTCCTAAATCTCTTAAAATAACTCCAACCAGTCCCTATAGTGGCTGCTTTGTGCCAGTCACATCTTCCCGAGTTTTGAGTCAAGCCTTACTTGATACATAACCTTAAACTTTGTATATACAGTATTTATAGCAATCAACAATCACCTGAAAAGTATGGACAAAACACAACAACGATAATAAAATTCTCATTAAAACATTTTATTAAATGTGTTTTTTTGTCTGTAGTTTAGAGATCTTTGTTGTAACTGAACAAGAAGTCAAAGGTCAGTCAGACATTAGATCTTCTTGCTGGTTCTCTTCAGGACAACAGAGGCAGCTGTGGAGGTCTACAAGAGAAGAAAAAGGCAAACGTCATTGAAGCAGTAAATACATTATTACAACACTTTATATTCAAATACATTAAAAACCTATTGTTCAAAAAGAATAGTGTAAAATTAAATATTTATAACATATCATTAGAACTGCTGACTTCATGGTTCAGCAATAAAACAYATATTTATTCAACATTTACTCATTTTGGGCCATAATTAGGGCAGTGGAAACTTTTCAATTCAAGTATTTTTTCCCCAAAATGTAAAAATTAATCCTTAAAAATCAATAAAATAAAACAAGATATGAACACAATGTAAAAACAAACAAACATCTAAGTCAGATCAGGTCAGGTGTTTCAGTTAACTGCTTGATAAGATGCATTTAGTGACGTTACAACCAGCTCAGTTTCCTCATTAGTCCTGGCTGTTCCTCAGTTGCAGATATGAAACATTGATTCTAATGATCCCTGCGGGGAGCTCAGTGTAATAACTGCTGTCACTGCACGACTTTCTCATCACACTAAAGAAGTGTGTTTACCTCGATAAGTTTGCCCCCACTGATCTCACTGACTTGCTTGTAGTTGGGGAACGTCACAACCAGCTTACCTCCCTCCATGTTCACTGTGCCCTGTAAAACACATGGATWATGTATTAGCAGCAGCAGAGACAATGTTCAGGCAAGGTTACTGGTTAACACACAACTCTTCTTTCCTACCTTAAATTTCTTCCCTCCGATAGTCTGAATGTCACACTCTTTGCCAATTGTGAACGTGTTGGTGACCCTGGCGTCTGTTGGGTAGATCTGGGTCCAGGAGAAATTGTCTCCACTCTGGGTGATCTCCGTGATGATCTTGTAGTCACGACCTTTCTCGATGATGTCATCAGGGATGCCTAGGTGGAGAGTGTGAGGTTTGAAAAGCCCAGACAAATGTGAAAATGAATGCTTTCCGATTCCAAGTCTTTGGTCTCACCAATCAGTTTGCAGAACTCATCGTATCCCTCCTGGGTTTCGGTTTCCCATCTTCCGGCAAAGGCCATTGTGGTGGTGTCAGTGGGTTGAGAAGCAGACCTGCTGAGGTAAGCTGAGGGAAAACAAGGTGCTGTGAGCAGGACTGCTCCTTTTTTATACACTGTGTACCTCTCGCCACCTACTAGTTCGGCATGTGACGACACAAGAGAGCAATTACAACCAAAGATGATGAGTACAACAGGCTATAACGGACAGGGCTATAAATTGCATGAATGGCTGTTTATAGAGCTCACAGGCAGTGAGTAAAATGCTGACTGCTCATCGGGGTAAGCTACAACTTCACCTCGAGGCCRTTGAACTCTCCTGCAATGGTTTTATGGTCATAACCTTCACTTTTACTGCTGCTCATTGGAAAATTAAATAAAGAACTTTATTTTAAAACTCAATCCATTGATTTGCAGGAAGACATTTGCTGCCAAACAGAAATGGTCTGCAATAAGACAGTGATGTTCCTTTCCAAGATCTTTATCTACTGGACCTGAAAAGGCTGAAGAAGAATGATTGGTACTATTTTAATGGGTGTTACATTTGCATAGGGAGATACATAATCACCCCTTTACAAGGTATAATAGCTAAGCAGAAACACTCATGCAAACCTTGATTTTAGCACCTTTTCTTATTCTAGAGATTAAATAATTTCTTTGATTTGCCATTGATTATTTGCATAATAATGTATGTTGTTCTAAATGCATTTATTGGGAAAGATGTAAATAAATGTTCCCTAACTTTAAAGCAATATTAGATTGATTTAAGACATGCTGACTTCTTGTAGCACAAAGGTTGCTCTTAAAATGTGAAAATGTTTGCCTTGTAAATTTGGTGTATTTCCTCTTCTTCTGCTGTTTAAATCTAATGACATTCACCTATCTGATAATAAAAAGTTGAAATAATCAAAATCTAATTTATTTACTTATGTAAATACTGGATTAATGATTAAGCAAATATCTTAAAATCTTAATGTTTCTCTGCTTACCTCATATTTTGGAAACATTACCAAGTGGGGCTTGCACTAAAATTAAAACATGTTAACTCAACCTTTGCTGTTTGTTCAGCTTTGTACAAAAGTTTTAAAGTATCCCAATTTTATTTTAGTAGGGTATTTTCCTACAATCTTTTAAAGTGGTCACGATCAGCAGCTTTTTAGGCTTTTTGAGAATCTTGCAAAAATTATTTTAATTTTGAGCTTTGGTAGCTTTCTTACTTATTTTTAGTTCAGTCCTTGTACATACATGCATAACAAGATAATAGATGGACAGTAAGATGGATTAGTGCTCATCACTGATACCTGACGTCTTTCTGTGTACAGTTTGCATGTTCTCTCTGCTCTTGCGTGGGTTTACTCAAGTTCCCTCCCACAGACCAAAAACATGACTGTTCTAATTTGTAACTCTAAATTGTTCCTAGATGTGAGTGAGAGAGTGAATGTTTGTCTCTATGGGACCCAGCAATGGACTGGAGACCTGTCCAGTGTGTCCCTTGCCCCTCGCGCTGTGACTGTCGGCAAAGACCCTGTGAAAATTACCTCTTGGGGGGAATATAGGAATTTATGKGTTTCAAATTGAATTTTCTCTGGTATTTTGTTTAGATTCAACAAAAAACATGGAAAGAAATTAAAGTATGTTTTTGTGAAAGGTTGTTCATTGAAGTGTTTTATTATTGAAACACTGATAAATTAGAAATAGTTGAMTTTGCATGTGGTGGTTGCCTTATTTGAAAGTATTTTGTTAGTTAAATGAACATAAGATGTGTTGCACCAATGTTTGCCTTTTTGCTTTTTCTCATGAAATAAAAATAAAAATTTAATCAGAGTTGTCATTCTGCCCTTTTTTGTTTATTTCATTGCAGGCAGCTGGACTAAAACAATAAGAAAAAAAACTAAAAGTGGGAGATACATTGTGTGCTGCTAGTTCTACCAGTTTGTGATACTTTCTTTTTTTATCACTTTATGACATATAGTGCTGTTTCTCTTTAATCATAACGAATGCACGAGGAAACATGGAGAGACACCACACCGACTGTGAAGACAGTACAATGAACGGACAAACACTGAAGACAGGACACAGAATATAAAGGCTAACTAATTAGGGACAACAACAAACACCTGGAGGAGACACAAGAGGAAACAGGTGAGCGAGGGCGGGGCCGAAGCAGGGCAGAGATACACAGGGGAACACTGAAACACTAGCCTGGTAAAAACCAGACCCTGTACTTCACATTACTTTGTACAAGGGTCTGGACTTGCTGCATAGAGAAGCAGTTCTTGCCGGAGGCGTGGCCTCTGCTGAAGCATGTGTGTGTTGTCGCTGTGAAAGAGGCTAAGCTAAGAAGCTAAATGGAAATCGCGTGTGCTGTAAACAACCCTACTGAGAGAAGAAATATACCGAGCCGAATGAGACGAATGAGCTGCTGCTTTGTCAGACAATTTTATTTTAATTTGGAAGCCTTATCAACACAGACTGGCTTCATTCACTTCCTCCACTGCGTATGCTAAACTAACTAGCAGACACTGTGCAGAAAATCGACATCGTTCAAAACTCCGCCTTCTGTTTGCTGATTGGCCCAGGTAAAATAAACTACAAGCAGACACTGCGCAGAAAATCAATGTTCTCTCCTCTGATTGGTTCGGCTAAAAATCTGCCAGCGAAATCCTTGTCAATGGGAGAAATGCCAGAYGGAGCAGTGAAGGGAAACTAGAATTGAGCGGAACTGTGTAGGAAGGCAAGGGCCAGGCTACTGAAACWCTAGAAAACTAAGGAAAATAAACACAGATCATGACACTAACAAGGTGATMGACAAAAAGCTAAATCCTGGCAAACGGTTGATGATCATAGAGTAGGATACACCTCTCAAGTCTTGGTTCAGGTCTTTGCTGGACTACATCCTATTTCTTCAAGACATGACTTTTGGATGCCGTTCATCTGCAATGCATTTTTTTAGACTTTATACCTTTTTTTCTGTTCACTTCCTGTCCTCTTTCCACTTTTAAACACACACACACACACACACACACACACACACACACACACACACAC